GCTCGACAATGGCAAGTTCGAAGAGATTCTGGTCAGGACTACGCTCCCAGTACGGGATGTAGCTCTCAGTGCGGATGGGAACTGGATTGCCGTGGCCAGCGAGTACGTGTGCGACTCTATTCGTCCGATCTGGTCACTAACGGACGCAGCGAACTCGTCGTAAACCTCGTAAACGTCAAAGACAAGAGCATGAAAAGCCTGCGCGAACAGCCTCGAGCCGTCAAACACGTTTCCTTCGATAAGACCGGGACCCAACTCGCCGTATCCTGCACCGACGGCCATATCTACATGTACAACCTGGAGGGTGGAGAGCCTGAGATGGTCAACAGAGTGGAGGGCATGATCAAGAGCCTAGAAGCAGATGCGGAGACGAGTTCGAAAGTTCTTTGGCATCCAGATGGGCGGGCTTTTGCTACACCCACCGCCATGCGCCAGATACAGGTCATGTCGACGAGTGATTGGGAGAGGCAGCGAGTCTTTAAGACGGGTCATACAGCCGATATCACCGCCGCGGCATGGTCGCCTAACGGTGCCTTGTTGGCGACGACCTCGAGCGATCTGAGCCTATGCATTTGGGATACCAAGACGCAGAAACAGCTCAAGAAGCTCGACGATGTCAAGGCTACAATACTTGCAATGGCATGGCACCCAACGGAGAACATCCTCTCGTACACCAACAACGAAGGCGAACTCTTCATCCATACCGACCTCGTTCCCGACGAACATCTCCCCCTACTACAAAAGCCCACCGTCTCCGCTCCTTTCTTTCACGACCCCTCGGAAGGCCGAGCCGGTGTCCCACAACCGGCAAAGCTCACAAACGGCAACGTACAGACTCTTCCTGGACGACCGAGACAAAGGAGTGGAACTCCGGACTCGTTAGAGGATATCCTAGGCCCAGAGTTCCAGGACGATGAAGCTCAAGTGGATGGCGATGAAGAGATGGAGGATTTCGTCATTGACGACGATGGCGCTGGATATGCTCCTGCAATCACAGCTGCTAAGAAACGTCCAAACGGACATCTTACTAGCGGCGTAGAACCAGCCTCAAAACGTCGCGCATACAGCTCAGCCCTCTTCCGTCCCCAAGTACACGAGCCATTCCAACCAGGTAGCACACCCTGGCGCGGAAACCGCCGGTTGCTCTGCTGTTCATTAACCGGGTATGTCGAGACCGTGGAACAGGAGGGCAAGCATCACACAGTAAGCGTCAAATTCTACGACGAGCACACGTTCCGCAACTTCCACTTCACCGACGTCTTCCTATACGACAAATCATGCCTCAACGAGAACGGTACACTGTTCGCCTGCCAACCCAACAGCACCGGTGACGGAAACCCAGCAATGATATACTACCGACCGCATGAGACATGGACGACGAGAACCGAATGGCGGACTAATCTGCCGACTGGGGAATCCGTTACTGCAATTGCACTATCGAATTCATATGTCTGTGTAACAACATCGACAAACTACGTGCGCATATACTCACTCTTCGGCCTCCCAGTGCGCGTCTACAGGCAAAAGAGTTCCCCAGCAGTGACATGTGCAGCGTGGCGCGACTACATTCTCACGATTGGCAACGGACCCATCCAAAACGACCTCAGCACCCAACTCCTCTACACGATCGAAAACATCAAACACGACATCGTCTACCAAGATTCCGACATCCTTGCCCTACCCCCAGGCACAACTCTAACCTCCGTCTTCTTCTCCGCAGAAGGCGACCCCTACATCTACGACTCCTCAGGCGTCCTTCTCACCCTCCTCGGCTGGAGAAACACCGGCCAAGCGCGCTGGGTCCCCATGCTCGACACCAAGCTCCTCTCGCGCCGCGCCGGCGGCGGAAAAGAGGAGTCCTACTGGCCCGTCGGCGTCGCCTCGTCACCCACAGCCTCCGAGGGCATAGGAGGCGCAAAATTCCACTGCATGATCATCAAAGGGCGGGAACAATACCCCTCAGCACCCGTCCCGCACCTCTCCGAATTCGGCTTTGAGATACCGCTCACAAGCGTCATCGACAAAGCCAAGAGCAAGAAGAACAGAAGAGGAGGCGAGGAAAGCGACATGGAAGATGAGGACGAGGACGCCAACGCGCCTCAGACCAACGAGGAGAAACAGCAAGATCACGAACAAGCCTTCATCCTCGCTTCAACACTACATTCGCAACTTTCTTCCACCCTGCTCCACACGCGTCCGACGGCGTCGCAGGAATCGGCGCTGAGTACGCTCGAAGTGGCGATTGATCGTGCGCTGCTTCAGTTGCTTGGGTTGGAGTGCCTGGCGGGTGAGGACCATGGGATGAAGGCGCTGGAAATTGTTAGCTTGATGAGGGATGCCAATGGCAAGATGCTGGATTTGGCGGGTAAGGTGGCGAGTAGGTATGGGAGAGAGGTGCTCGGAGAGAAGATTAGGGAGTTGGCGGAGAAGAAGGCGCTGGCTAGGGATGATGCCGACGAGGACGACTTCTAGTTACTGGGGTTGGATGATGGATGTTGTGCAATTCTGGCTTGGATATAGAGATGATAATGTTTAGGTAGCACCTTGATCAAGCAAAATACCGAACACCCTGGAGCCTACATTGACTTTAGGCGAGCTACTCCGCGTGGTTTCACCTAGATGTAGGCAGTAAACCTATTTAGTTTCTTTTCTTTGTATGAGATGGTAGCCTAGCGATGGTTCGTTAATCAATCAATGGTCTTGTAATACTTGATCAAATATTGAATCAAAGGAAATACGGAAGACCATGGAAAGTGCCGTTTGACAATTTATTGGCATTACTAAAGGTAGTAACATAGAAAGAGGACAATTGATCCCAAATCGCTTCATGTATGGAGAAGAAGGTACGCTAGAAGCTCTCCTTGTAAACGCCGTAGCCCGCCATTATCAATCTGGTACTTGTCTCTCTTCAAAAGCGAGGCTTCGAACAAGAAACACTCCAATCAACAATGTAGAGCCATACTGCTCTTGAACACGCTACACAGTACGGTAACAAGCCGTCTAGTACTCAGCCTCAACACCCTCATCATCCCCGAGGGAGTCAGCTGCGACCTCTTCGTAATCGCGCTCCAAGGCAGCGAGATCTTCACGAGCCTCGGAGAATTCACCCTCCTCCATACCCTCACCAACGTACCAGTGGACGAAGGCACGCTTGCTGTACATGAGGTCGAACTTGTGCGAGAGAGCAGACCAGGCCTCGCTAATGGCCGTGGTGTTGGACAGCATGCAGACAGCGCGGTTGACAGCGGCGAGGTCACCGTTGGGGACCATCTGGGGGGGCTGGTAGCAGATACCGACCTTGAAACCGGTAGGGCACCAGTCGACGAACTGGACGGTGCGCTTGGTCTTGACCTGGGCAATGGCAGCGTGGGTGTCCTTGGGGACGACGTCACCACGGTACAACAGGCAGGTGGCCATGTACTTTCCGTTGCGAGGATCGCACTTGACCATCTGGTTGTTGGGCTCGAAGCAGGCGTTGGTGATCTCCATGACCGAGTTGGCCTCGTGTGCGGCCTTGGCGGCGGAGATGACGGGAGCATAGGCGACGAGAGGGAAATGGATACGAGGGTAGGGGACCAAGTTGGTCTGGAACTCGTTCAGGTCGACGTTGAGGGAACCGTCGAATCGGAGGGAGGCGGTGATGGACGAGACGACTGAGTCAGGTTAGCAGAGTGGATTTCTAAGCAGGCTCTGGCAGCTTACCCTGGGCAATGAGACGGTTGAGGTTCTCGTAGTTGGGGCGCTCGATTCCGAGGTTCCTACGGCAGATGTCGTAGATGGCCTCGTTGTCGACCATGAAGGAGCAGTCGGAGTGCTCAAGTGTGGTGTGGGTGGTCAGGATGGAGTTGTATGGCTCGACGACCGATGTGGCGACCTGGGGCGCTGGGTAGACACAGAACTCGAGCTTGCACTTCTTGCCGTAGTCGACGGACAAACGCTCCATGAGCAGGGCGCCGAAACCAGAACCAGTTCCTCCACCGAAGGAGTGGAAGACGAGGAAACCTTGCAGACCGGAGCAGTTGTCGGCGACGCGGCGGACCTTGTCGAGGACCTGGTCGATGAGCTCCTTTCCGACGGTGTAGTGACCACGGGCGTAGTTGTTCGAGGCATCCTCCTTGCCTGTGATCATCTGCTCGGGGTGGAAGAGGGAGCGGTAAGGGCCGGTGCGGACCTCGTCGACGACGTTGGGCTCAAGATCGGCGTAGATGGTACGGGGGACATACTTGCCCTGGCCTGCGCAGTGTTAGCAGTCAGAATGGCGCTCCGGGGCGAAAGCGGCCTACCGGTCTCGGAGAAGAAGGTGCTGAAGCCGTGGTCGTCGTTCAGGGCCTTGCGCTCCTCGGTGAGGAAACCATCGGGCTGGATGCCGTGCTCGAGGCAGTAGAGCTGGAAGCCGAGTCAGTATATCGCGCACTGGCGGTGAGCTATCCGCAGCCCCTTCTTCTGCGGTATAATGGAATACAGCAGAGGCAGAGCGTGTCGTCGGGTGCAACTCACCTCCCAGCAAGAGTTTGCGATCTGGCAACCGGCCTGGCCGACTAGACGCGTACAAAGTCAGCATCAACAAATAGCCAGGGATGTCCCGCTGCAGGCGGTCAGGGCGCGCATGGCGCAAGGGACGACATACCGTTCAGACTGATGACTTCTCTCATGGTGGCGTAGAGCAAAGGTAGTAATTGGGGTATCGAAATGGAGTCTCGGGGGAACCTGGGCGGCGAGGGTTGAAGCTGCTGTCGGTGGGAGTGGAGCAGTGGGGGAGAAGTGCTGTTGTGTTGTGGAATCGAACTTTTAGACCAAAAGGGTCCGCCTATCACGGACCACGGCGCTAAGCTACACGTCCAATGCAGCTGCCTGGCCGTTGCGCGAGAAACACGACCTCATCCGACGAATTCAAGCCTGCCGTTCCTCTGCGTGCCCATGGCGCTGCTCTGGCCGACGTGAGAGACAATGAATTGCTGCCCTCCCACCTCTCCCCCATCCTCACGTGCTGTCCGCCAAAGATGCGCCTCTCCGCCGGGCTGCTCTGCATCGTCACACAGGCCTGGACGGTGAATGCCAACGTCGAGAAGACGATATTCCTTGGTCCCAGCCCTGTGACTCTCTCCAATGTCCGCCCCGGGCTAGATGACCTCGGCCTGCACTACCTGTCGCCCTCGTCCACCATCCTCCCGATCCGAGTCCCTGTCCAGTTTCCCACCGAGTCGCTGCCCCGCGGTCTCGAGTCCTGGTACCTGCTTCGCGGCCTGCAAGACGGCAGGAGGTACGAGGTGCGCATCTGCTGGCCGGCCACCGTGAGTCTACTGCTCCTTCCCGTTGCATATCGCCTGCATCATCCGATTGTTTGTACTGACTTGCCCAGCAACCCACCGACTTCTGGCTTGACACCTACTCAGTCACCCACGTATTTGATACTCCCGACTTGATACCCTCGTTATCAGAGTATAGCTCAGTCATTCGACGCGACCCAGTGGACGACGACGGAAACACCAAGGAAGCGCCGCCTGCAGCTCCAGAGTCGGTACTGTTCTTGCGCCTCCAGGCTGCAGCGTCCTACTATTCGACCAATCGCACATTGATGGACTACCCGCCTCCAGTTGATGTCGACATCAGTACGTCTAATCTCACTAACATGTCATGCGTCGTCTAACAACCACAGTACTCGATCCCTTCATACTGAACGTCTTCCCGCAATCACTTGGCCCAATCGCGATATACATCACCGCAGTCGGTGTAGGAGCCTGGTTTCTCTCCGGCTACATCTACCGCTGGCTACTGTCTGTCGCTGCAGACTCACCCAACAAACCGCATACCGATTGAACAGGCCTGCAGACTACATCAAGACAAAAACCTGCAAAGTGGGTGACCTAACGTCAACGTAGGCTCCAGGCTGTTCAGTTTTTTTCCCTAGGTTGGCGTGCAGCAACGATGTCGTCTCCAGCGCCTCCTCCACCACCACCTCCGCCGCCGCCGCCGCCGCCGCCACCGTACAGGCCACCTTCCAGCGATGAATGCGACAGATTGTTCAATCTCCTTCCCGCCGAACTGCTCCTCATGATAATCAACTATGCGGGTGTCGGTAGCATTATGAACCTTGCTCTAGCCATCTATCCTACCCTGCAGCGGCATCGGATCGCCCCGGAGCTTAGTGCGCACACCTACTTCAGCATAGTACGCGTGGATAGGACCTCGAATACAAGCAACAGAAGACGACCCCTACCGCAAGGTCTTGATCGGATGCCCATGGAGCTGTGGTTCCAGGTGGCTCGAGATCTGGAGCCAATCGACATCTTGTCCATGATGTTTGCTATTGGCGCATATCCGCGAGAGTGAGCAAACAATGGCTGAAACGGGATGCGATAGCCAGACAGATACCATACCATATAAAGAAAAAAGCCGAACATGCCTAGAGCCTACATTGACGTTAGGCTACCTACTTTGCATGTTTTTATGTTGATGTATGCTGTGACCACGAAAACGTAGGCTGTGGCCTGTTCACTTTGTCCCTAGGTTGACGTTACCGGAATAGCTCGATATGCAAGCGTATCTAGGGTTTGCTCAGACACTGGTGCTTGCTGTCGAACACACCCTGATCTTTCGACTCTGGACCAGGGTCGGTACCTGGAAGAATTGTGAACGTTTTGCTTCTGGACGAGGAATGAGCAGGAGTACGATGGTGCAAACGACCACAGCTGTATGATGCGGAGTAGGAGGCTGGAAGTACGCATGTTGCACGGACTTTGACGGCTCAACAGATGCCAGCTCCTCACCCACCGCAGTTGAGCGACGCTAAAGATTACCCCATACCTAAACACGCCCTAGGGCCTTCATTAGTCACAATCCGCCGCGCTCGTCCCGTGAAAAAGTTCCTGGGCCAAGTAAACCTCGGTGCTTCGCAATCATCTCATCTTGAACATTTCTAAAGGAATCCTTCCGTGGAAAAAAGCCACAATGGTGCTCACGGACGAAGAGCAGCCTCTGCTCAGGATAATATCGCATGACTACGAAAGCGTCCAACAAGAGAATGATGCCGAGGAAGCTGGAAATGACGCGCTTGATTTTGAGCCTCTGGACCCTGAGGACCCTCGCAATTGGTCGCCAGGTTTCAAATGGGGTATCGTTTTGTTGCTTGCTCTCATGGCGTTCACCGTGTATGCATATTCTCCCAGCACTTCAATTGCCAAAAGAATTTCGACGCTGACCACGTCTCCAGGACGTTCACTTGCATTGGCGTGGTACCGGTCGCCAGCAAAATCGTCTCGGATCTCGATGGGAAGCATTCGAGCTCTGCAAACAGCGCGCTCCTCGTGACTATCTGGGAACTTGGAGAAGCCGCTGGTCCATTACTTATCGCACCGTTATCAGAGATTTTTGGACGCTATCCTGTCTTCAACGTTTGTAACATCGGCTTCATCGCTGCGACTACCCTAGCAGTTTGCAGCCAGAACAGCAGCATGTTCATTGCTGCGAGGATGCTCACAGGTCTTTGCGTCGCTTCAAACGTCCTCAATCCAGCGATTATCGGAGACATCTTCGAGAGCGAGCAACGCGGCTCCGCAATGTCTTTGGTTATGCTTGCGCCGCTCATTGGAGGAGCTATCGGCCCTGCCATCTCGGGAGCAATTGCGCAGACGATAGGGTGGCGACGTATGTTGACTATTGCCGCCGGACTAGCTATCGTGTGCGAGGTTCTTTTTCTGGTCTACTTCAAAGAGACGTACAAGATGGCTGTCTTGAGAAGAAGAGCAGCGAAGACGATGCAGGAAACTGGAAAGGTTCCCGAGTCGAAGAGCACGCATGAGCATCTAGCGAAGCTTTGGCACTCCATCACCAGGCCTTTTGCGGTGTTGTTCGGTTCGAGCGTACTCATGCTTCTCTCGCTGTTTGCCTCGGTCGCGTTCAGCTTCTTCTACGTTGTCAGCGTTTCATTACCCTCGATCTTGCTGGACAGGTATGACTTCGAGTTCGGCCAGATTGGTTACACTTTCATCTCGTTCAGTAAGTATCTTGATATGCCTGAACCCACGGCAGCTAACAGATATCTAGGCGTCGGATCTTTCTGCAGTGTACTAGTATGCAACTTTACGCTCGATAGGATATACGTCAAGCTCCGCGGGCCCGACGGCGAAAAAGGAAAACCCGAGTACCGCCTTCCTCTTTCTATCCTGGGGGCGATCCTCTTGCCTTTCTCGGTAATTGCATACGGCTGGATCGCAGAATACCGTCTGCCTGTACTCCTGCTTCTCGCCTCAGTGGCCTTGATGGGGTTCTCGCTCCTTCTAACTGTTATCCCATTGTCTGCTTACGTCGTCGACGCTTGCGGCATGTACTCCGCATCGGCCATGACGGGCGTCATCGTTACGCGATGCCTTATGGGGACCTTCCTGCCACTCACGACTGGTCCATTGGCTGACGCACTTGGCTATGGGCTGGGCTTCACTCTTTTGGGCGCACTAAGCTTGTGTTTGGTCATCATCCCGTTATGCATCTTTAAGTTTGGGGAGAAGTGGCGACAGCATTCAGAATTCACGAAAGACACTTGAAGCACCTTACACAGGAAAAAAAGACTAAACATGTCTAGAGCCTACATCAACGCTAGGTCAACTGTTTTGTATGCTTCTACGTTTATGTAGGCTGCGGGCCTATTTATCCTTTTGCTTGGTCAACGTAGAACGGTAAAAAGCTGCAACGTTAGCTCCTGCCATACAAACATTTTGTGTAGAAGCCACTTCCTCATGTTCGCATAGCTCCTACGAGTTATTTCCGCACTTTCTGGGAAAGTACCCCTCATCAATGCCGTACAAAAGCTGCACCGTTCCTCCGTTCTCTGTTCCTTTTCTGCATTCCATCATCAACACCCACAAGCTTGTTGATCAAATCCGAACACATCCTTCCAGCATCCACAAGCTTAGCACGCCATGAAGTTCTTTACCTTAGCTCTCGCAACTCTGCTAGCCCAGACGGTCACGATCGCCCAAAGTTTATATGACCAGCAGTCCAGCGGCTTCCGTCTTATCCTCAAATCAACTGTCAATGGCCTCAATGAGTACATGCCACAACCCTTCAGCTCTTTTCCTCATTCTGACAGATAGCAGCTACGCACTCGGAGCTTGCCACTGGTCCGCACCCTACGCGGGCCTATGCCTAAGCAACGATACGACCGCCACCCCTGCACGTCCCTTCACTACCTTCTACCACAACCTATCCTCCTACAACATCGACAACCAGGGTATCCTCAACTTGCCCGTGAGTCTTTGGGGTCGCGACGATCCCGTCTCGTCCGCAATGCGCTTCGACTACGAAGCTGGAACCAATCTCGTGGAAATGACCTTCGCGCTCAGGACCGACATATACCAACTGGTGTGCTTCGAAGAGGACGACGCTAGCATGTACATTGCAATCGACGAAGATGATACTGGCAAGGTCCGTGATTGGGTTTTTCCACCGAAAAAGGTCAAGAATTGGTACATGTGTCCCTCGAGGTATAACTTTAAGTTGTGGACGCTGGCATGGAAGATTGGAGTTGTGGGCGAGCCGCAAAATCCTACTTGTTCAAAGGTCGACGTAGTGAGGGTGTGGGCTTGAGGAGATGAGGATTCGAAATGTTTTGTGCATCCAGGTGGTCCGTTGTTGTGGACTGGACTGTTCTGGCGACAGGTGTAGTAGTCAAGGTGTCTTTTCATTGTTTAGGCTTTGCCTTTTTGTACCAGTACGCAAATTGATTCTTCTTATCTTTATGCTCACCAACGCATGATATCTTTGAAGTTCCTCGCGATAAGCCGACGCTCTTTGGATACCACAGCGTGCCTCAACTCTGCGTAGTAGTCCTCTTCCCCTCAACAGTTGCCACATGCAAAACAATCAGCAGGGTAGGTTATACATATCCGTATTCATTCACCGGCTACTCCCTACGTGATTCTTGGACGGTGATGTTCTTACCTAGGTAGTGTGAACATCGCTGCATTACTGATTAGGGGGCCCTGGATCATGTTCAGCCGGTCCAACGGGACAAGAGAGGTCGACATTAGGGGTCTCGGCCTCAGATGCTGTAGAATCGGCTTGGAGATGAGGTAAATTATGGCAGACGTTGGTCGCGACAGTGGTTCCCGAGCTTGATGGGGGCGGGGAAGCTTGGAAGCTTGGCGGGTGCGATTGCCGCCCAAAATCCGGGGCTGGAAGCTATCTAGGTAGGTACGCGACGTCCCGTCTCTTCCCCAGACACCCATCTGTCAAACAGTGAGCTTGTCCAGGAAAGATGTCCCGATAAGCGAACCAAACTCAGTATCTGGATACCCAGGCTATCTCCAAACGAGCAACTGCGCATACAGCCGAGGCCCGTCACGACTCTCTTCCTCAACTGACCACGCAAGGTGATCATGTCGATGAAAAGAAAAATTGTAGCCCCCCGCGGGGACTTCCGCCGAGATCCGTTGCTCACGTCGAAGGAACCTGGTTCTCGCCCACTGGTTAGTAGGGACAACATACCTGGAGTTGGCGGAGATGATCGTGAGCAAGGGACCTATTGATCCTCAGCTCGCACCTGGACACCTCGCCGGTAGAAGAGAGTAGAACGGCCTGTTCTACCTGGCAAGTATGGATGTCTTCAGTGCGAACCAAGGAAGAGAGGACGCAACACCATACTATCGCTGACAAGAGACCCCCACCTCAAGACGGTAGTAGAGAATAGCTTTTGACCCGGCTGGTCAAACAGCAGGAGCTAACCCCCGCCTCAGAACCGGAAAGAATTCTCCCTAGCACTGTTGAAGTGCCCATTTAAACGGCCGAGTGGCGTGAAAGGATCACCCTACGAAGACTCTCGGCAGCGATAGGATGGGGTTGCGGATAAGAGAAAGGAAGAAACCACGGCGCTAAACTGCCGTCGTCAAGAGTCCAATACCAAGGTCATCGAGCAGTACCAGGCGTGTAAGATACTTCCGAAGCTGTTGAAGGTTCGTTGCTCTAAAGAGACCGTCGACGGCGGTAGTCAGGCGTGTGGAAGGGTTGGAAGAAAGAAGTAGCTGGGCGGGCACAATATATGACCAGTGGCGGGTACACGAGCCCATTTCTATGACGTTCTCAGGGCATATATTCCAGGCAGCAAAGTGAGAGCGCGCCTCAGTCTAGTGGATCCGAGGCAAAGTGAGAGTGAGTGAGCCAATGAGTTCGAAGGAGGGAGTGGGAGGCAGCATGTCTCGATGTATACTACTCAGGTACCAGTACAATGTCGCAGATGAAGCCAACCGCGCTACGTCCCCGTCTTGGTAGCCCAACATCTCACCATTACGTGATGCTGTTCCTCTTTACTTCTCGTACTACCAGTGCTACGATACCTAGGTACCTAGGTAATGTCGGCCGCTCAGAATATAGCTTCAAGGTCTGACCAGCATCCTGGCTCTCGACATATTGTTGTTCTGATTCGGACATTAGGAATAGTCCAGCGGAAAGTGAAGTACGGAGTAGTACTGGCCTAGGTGGTATGTCTGAGTAGGCCCGTGCGTTCTCGCGCATCAAGCATCGCCCACCAGAGCGACATGATCAACCTCACGACCCGCTCAACCGACGCCACGATGAAGACGTCACTCGCCACCCTCTCGTCCTTTGCAACGCTCACAAGCGCTGCACGTCTGCTGCTGCAAATTCCGAACACGGTCCTGGTCAATCCGTCCACACTCCCTTCGACCACGCACGCAACGCTCCAGTCCTCCGGCCCGCCCCTCGACGCCTATCTCACGCGCTCTAACACGTTCAACTTCAACAATGTGAGCGCCGGAAGCTATCTCGCTACCGTGCATTGCCGCGACTACGCGTTCGAGCCACTGAGGATCGATGTCACCGTGGAGGAGGCGGCAGAGGGTAGCGGGGAGAAGAAGGAGATGATCAGGGCATACCAGACCTTCCTGGGTAACGAATGGGACAACAAGGGAGAGAGCCGCGGCGAGGGAGGCAGTGGCTTGGTGGTTGAAGCCAGGCCGGTGGGAACCAAGTACTTCTACCAAGAGAGGCAAGGCTGTGAGTTGGCATCGCGACAATCCCCAATGGGGAGATTGTGCTAACACGCTGCAGTTTCACCGCTGTCATTCTTGAAGAACCCTATGATTCTCATGGCGATAGTGTCCATGGGTCTCATCTTCGGCATGCCCAAATTGATGGAGAACAGTAAGTCTCTCGCAGCCCGTTAGGTACTGCCAAGGTTACTAACACACGCTTAGTGGACCCCGAGATGAAGGAAGAATTCGAGGAGATGAAGAAGAACGGTGTCCTGGGCTCCGGAAACACCAACACTGCATCGCAGTTACAGAACTTTGATCTCGCCTCGTGGATGGCCGGTAAGACCGACTCGGGCAGCGCGAGCGCACGTACACAAAGTCCTGCGGGGCAGACGAAGAAACGATAGACAGCGGACACACAGGGTCTTGGGGGACAGCGAAGCGCTCAGGTCCTTCGACACAGAGTATGCCTATATTGGCAGCGAGCAATATACACTATCATCAAGCTAGGACTGCGTTCTTGACTTATGAAGGAAACGCACATACTGCATCGACTCGTCCACTATATGGATGTCTCCCACTCAGTCCCCAGCATGAGCAGGAGAATTCTCACAGAACCGGACATCCGGCGATTGCTAGCGGTGTTCGCATGCACATGTTCCTACCTAGGTATCGCTTCATATTCTCTTTCTGACCTAGCTGTCTGGGCGAAAGCCATCACAATGCTTGATTCCTGACTCATCTACGCAGGATTCTACAGATAGCTGAAGAGCCTCTCGTCGTAGTCAGACTTCGTAGGCACGTCTCGCCCCTTCTTCATCAATTAGAACCAAAGCAGCCCGTCTCACACAAGCGATGCTGCTGTATCTTGAAGCTGTCCTTGTATGTAACGACATAAGCTGAACTCCAGCTTCCGCCCCGCAGCTTATCCAGGTGTTGTAGTTGCTTATTCACGCTCTTGACTTTCCATCTCGACCAATCGGGTAGGCGCTAGCCCCGGTAGAGGCAAGCCACCACCCTTTCGACCCAACGAGACAGCATCGGTACAATTACGCTGCGGATTATATACGGTGCTGATGAGCTCCTCTACTTGCTTTACGACATTTTCCAGTTCGTGACGAGCAAGATGGTTGATACTTCACGAACACCAGCTGCCGGCATGGACGATCCAGCAAGCACGACAACAACCGTACAGCATGATCTACATCAACACCACCATTCACATCTTGGTCATCACACAGGCAAGATATTGAAACACTTTCTGAGACCAGATGGAAGAAAGGTTCACATTGCGAGCTCACCTGATGAAGCAAATGACATGAGGAGAAAGCTGAGCAATGCGAGCGAGAAAGAAGACTTCGACCTAGTCATCCATGGATCCCCCGAACATGTTAGTTCCATGAAAAAGGAGCAGGAAAGTGATGATTTGAAGCTCGCCCTACTAACGCATATAGATCGAAGCACTCCGCCACACCCACGCCCACCACACAGCACACCACCGCCAACTGCACCAGGACCACGGCGACCTAGCCCAAGAATTCGAGCGCGTAATCCGCGACCTCGACACGCTCTCCACCGAGCTCCACATGCTAACCTCGCACGCCGTGCAACTCGACGCCAACTTCTCCAAATACGGTTACTCAGCCCATCTACGCACCAAAGAAGACAGCCCTTCAACAGACTCCCTCACCGACTCCTCCTTCGACAAGGAAACATGGCACTCTGATCGCCAACACGGTACAGCAATCCACTTCTACCAAAAGCCAATCGTACGACAATACTTCCACAAGGGCCTGCTGTGGCGCGCAAAGGAAGCACAGGAGGTAGCTAGCTACGAACTCTTCATTGACCTCTTTTACGTCGGCATTATCGCCATCACCGGAGATTCTGCAGCTGAACATCCCACCGCACAGTCCTTGCTTCGTTTCGCAATCACCTTCATCATGGGCTGGAAGTTCTGGACGGATATTGGGGTGCTAGTGTCGTGGTTCGATAGTGATGATGTGGTCAGGCGGGTTTCTGTACTCTTTCTGCTAACATGTCTGTTGGGTTTTACGACGAATATGGTTGAGGCATGGGAGAGGACGTACGCACCACTTGTGGGGTTCTATCTCGCGGCGAGACTGTTTGTGACGAGCTGTTGGTTTTGGTACGCATGGCGCATTCCCATGGTGAGGGGTAGTATGCTGGGGAATGCTTTGCTCTCTTTGATCCCAGCAGCGTTTTGGATGGCGAGTGTGAGTGTGGAAGAACCGGACCGACAGGGACTTATCTGGGTGGCTATCTTGTTCGATCTCTTCGGTCAGTTTGCCATGGTGCTACTTCAGCGGCCGGGGTCGCCCATCGCGCCGTTCGTGCCTGACTCTTGGAAGAGGAGTTTGGAGTTCTATCCCGCGACAAACATTGAGCATCGGATTGAGCGGACGAATGCGTTTGTTACGCTGGTGTTTGGGTCTTGTGTGTTGGGCTTGCTGTACCAGAGTAGTGTGGCGATGGGGATCAATACGTTCTTTGGAAAGGCGGTGCTGGGTTTGGTGCAGACGTTTGTGCTGAATTGGGTCTACTTTGAGATTGACTCGTTCAATCTACATACGCATG